AATACTCCAATTTCGAGTTCTGGTTTGCTCTGTGTTAGCCTCAAAACCAAGTAACATATTCTTTTGTTTCATTGATAGCTCGAAAAAAAGCATGGAATTTGTGAAGAAACACAATAAATTTGATTTGAAATCTCACACTTCTACACTCACAATAAGGAATATTTTGCGCACAAATGAGGCTAACACAGAGCATTGGAGAATTCGAAACTGGAGTATTAGAGGTTACTTTGATGAAAATCATGAATTCTTCAAGGCGATAGATGAGTAAACCAAGCCCAAGAAGCCTGCTACAATTCCAAACAGAACTACCGCTATCTCAGCTACTTTGTTATACCACTTTAAACTACCCCACTTAAGTTGCATGTGAAATATGCAAGGGAATATAAACGATATACATGCACCCAAAACACTACCAAATATCCCCATTAATAGACCAAAGTTTGGCACAGCTACAGCAATGCCAAATGTAATAAAGACCAAAGCAGCTCTTGTAAAAAGGAGCCAAGGAATATGACATTTCCCACCCTTAGCAAAACTGGAGGAAAGTTTGGGCAGTACAATGATATCAAGGGTTTCTGTGGCAACAAACATATTTAAAGGATATGAAAAATAAACATTGATAATTACTAATACTATTGCTATCATACTTAAGACAGAATTCTTTTGGTCCAGCCCTAAGTTGAGTGTAATTATTGGATTGGTCCTGCTGCCATAAAGCAGACAAGCCACAAAACCAAGTGCAAACTTTGCTAATGTGACAATTATAAAAGCTATGTATGATACTTTGTTGAACTTTTTGGGTTTACGCATGGAACCTTCAATGCCTGGAAATACAGAATGACCACAAAAACTAAATACAATGATACCTATAGCTATTGGGAACTTCTCTGAATCAAATGTAGGTATGTTATCAATAGACCAGCTCCTCCACTCCCCTAAACAATAACCTATTATTATAAATGTACAAAGCAGGAGGGAAATGACAGCAAGCATACTTAACCAAGCTAGTATCTCAAGCTTCCTAATGAAGACTGTTGGAAGAACTAAACAAGTACAAATGAGGCACCATTCTGTTAGGGTTACATGAGTTGCATTCTTAAGTATACCTAACATGCTACTGCCTAACATCATAACATACAACACTGTGATGCAGTAACACATGGAGACAGTCATGAAGTCAACTATTTTACCACCAACAGGACCCCAGCAGGCGGCTCCTATTTCAGCATAGCTTGACCTTACTTTTTTACGAAGTTTGGTTTTGGGGCAAAGTTTGTACAGGCAATCGATCAGCAGTACTCCAGTAAAGTTAGTCATCAATCCAACGAAAATCACAAGTACCAAAGCGGGAAATCCACCAAGAGCAATGGCGTAGGGCGTTCCGAGTAGTCCTCCACTGCCGTTRATCATGTTTATGACGTTCCAAAGAGCTAACGCCGCCGAAGCTTGACCATCTTCGGATATTCTTGCCAAGATTGATGCTGAATAGCTTTGTCCTCTACCTTTGGTCGAATGAACGCTGTTGACGCTCTGAATACGGCTATCCTTTCCTGCCAAAGAACCACGACGAGATGAACTTAGTATAGAAGGACTGGTGGCGTGTCCTTCGTGTCCCCTGCTCGAGTAAAGCGAGAATTGCACCGAGGGTATAAACAACGATGCTTGGCTGGTTGTGAAGCTCAGAAAATCGGTACTACGATTTGCTTCTACTTCTCCTGAGCGAAGAAGTGGTGTGTGTTCTCCTGGTCCGTAGCAAGAAGACTCATACGAGTCGTGTAGGTCATGCTCTTGTTCGAGTTGTTCATTTGTGAGCGGTTTGTCTTCGATGATCGTTACAAGCTCCGGTTCTTTGACAACGCTTGGTAGAGTAGGTGCACTTGAATCACCTCCTGCTTCAAYATCAAGATCGGCAATCTTTTGCTGATCCATTGAATTTGGTTAAAAAGGTAAGATTCTTCTTTAAGGAGCTCCAAGCACCGACACGAATTACTTACGCAGTGAGCAATACTTTACTGAAGCCGGCCGTAAAACCTTTAGCTATTGCAACACGTGTTTCCGGTTTGACAAGTCGCAGAACTTGTTTTCAAAGCGAGTTTACACACAAAGGATAAAGATGTTGATATGAATCGTGATCATGGACATGAGGTATTCTCGTTTTCTCACGCAATTTTATTTACCTTACTATCATTTATAGGCTATTTTCGGGACATTTTGGTGTGGATAACAAAGAAAGACTCTGGTTTATAGTACTCGCCACACATGTGCTCAGGGAAAACCCCGGAGAATGTACATGTTGCAAATGAAATCTATTCTATTGTACAGACGTTGTACCTATAGCTCTCTGCGCCACTGTCTAAAATTAATCGAGAGGCAGTAAGATTTAGTTTTTGTGCATTTAAATCTTATGGCGTGTCGAAGCTGTTTTACCGTCAACTAATAAGCGTAGTCTGACTAGCGCAACCCAACAGCCTTTCGGCGGTCAACGAGTCGAAATCACTTCTAACAAATGTATCAATGAAAAAGATTATCAAAACGGCAAAAGATGGTACGCTTTGACTGAGCCATACTACAAGCGAGCTTGACTGGTTTGTGTATGAAATGCAATACAATGTGTCATTTCCCAATCGGAAATTGTATAGCTCTAAACATCTCTTACGTCATGGCTAGGAAGGAGGGCAAAAGGTCAAATCGTAATAAAACGATTCTTTTGTGCGGATTTCTCATGACTGTGCAACGGCACGGATCACGGAGCTTTTCCTAGCTTCTAGCGATTCCAAATAGAACTAACGATTAAATAATACATCACCGCCACTACTACAACAATGTTTTTTTAATGTGCAACCAACAGTGAACAATATACAATGCAATGCTAATACGAAAGAACAAAGAAAAGTTAACCAGAATACACAATATTCTGGTACACACAAAAAGGCCCATATTTTTTCGTGATGGGACTATCACAACAAATAACTAGAAACATGCCTTTATAAATATTTGGAATATACTGTGCCCAGCAATTTATTGCTTTGATATTAAATAGTCCTATTTCGTAACAATTAAAAAAAATTAAAAATACAAATTTCAGATGCATTTTGCATGGCCTCTTTCTCAAGCTCTTCCTAATTCCTCTCTGTCTACTACTGGCCTCCTGTCTTCCTCAATATAACAATGACTTTGACCTAGAAATGGCCCCTGTCGACCAAAAAGCACAAAATGAAGTAAGCTAACTTAACTCTAACAATGTACAATATTCTATCTGACATGAAAAACTAACTACATTTATAAAACTCATTAATATTCATAAGGCAAAACACAATAGAAATCATAGCCCATGAAGAGAGTTGTATATTACATACAGATTTCTTGTTCATTTGCATAAACTTTAACTCTGATTTTCTCGGTCAGATTGATTTTTTTTCAAAAGTTTCTTTAAAACCTGAGCTAGTTTACCTCAACGTTTCATAAGTAATATACAATATTCGCGGGCGATCTGTATGAGGTTTAAAACAGCTCGCTTTCAGCTCGCTGTTTTAAATCCTCATACAGATCGCCTGCTCATATTGTATATATTACATATAAGCCTAGTTTAGTGAAAATATACATTCAATTATTAATAATATTAAATATTATTAGAATATTCCTATTGTTATTGCCTTTTGTTTACATCTTGCTGTATATGGTACTTGGAATCATCTATCAGAAATCTGAGAAAATAAATAAATAAAAACAGGATAAATGAAAATTTCACCACAAAAAAGTGAATAAATCAATGCACTAGTATCTCTGTTTCCTTATATAAAAATGGTTCAGGGAGATCAAACTTGGATCTGCCCTGGAAATCATAATACTTAGGTTTCTTTTGTTTCTCAAGTGTAAAGAGCAGCTCCTCATATTATTGAGTCAAAGGAATTTAATCCATGAAATTGTAATAGTCTAAATAGCACATATTTCCACTTAAAATACCTAAATCTAAATAACTGATCAACACAGTTCTTTATGAAAGACAATTTATCAAATTGCACATGAAATTAGGAAAAAGAAGTAACAAAATTTCACGGATTAAGTCTGTTTACTCTTTCAGAGGAGAGAGTAAAAAGCAATTAAGCTGCCATTTTATATATTCTTACAATATTCCTGCTTGGGAATTTGACAGCTAGAACATACCTGTACCAAAAATACCCCAAAGGCACAGTGCCTAGATGCCACAGTGAATGAGCATCAAATGTCCACCAAATCGGTGGGAAATCAAATACCTGTAACAACAAAATGAAAATGAAAGTGGAAAAATGAAAAAATGCAGTATTGTTAATTTTTTCTTAGTAGAGAGTATAAACAAAGCTTTGCCATTCTGTTGTTCCAAAATTCCTGAATTAATACTCATAGCCCAGCTCCAGTTATGGGTTGGACTGGTTTTATTCTTGGATGAGATTTTTATAGCTTTGATTATGAATTGGTGTATGTGTGAACGTGCTTAAGCTGGTTCCTTTGTTTAGTGAAAGTTTAGGTTTAATCCAAAGGTTAAAGTATGGGCTTTTTTGTCTTTCTTTTTCCATTAAGAAGTATATTATGCCATGAGTTTTTCTCATAAAAGTACAAAATTTATATATAGAGGGAACACACTTAATCCGTGCAACTGTACAAAATCTAAGTAGTACTAATTTGTACTTAAAGTGGACCTGAAGCAAGACGCTATTGAATGCTTCATTTGTAGCGATTCAATTTAATTTGCATATTGCATGTACGATTTACTAGTAAGTACACCTAAACATCACTATTTAGTTTGTACAGTTGCACGGATTAAGTGCGATCACTCTAACTGTGAAACACTAATTTGTACAAATAGTTAGTTGAACAAAAGGAAATAATAGTACAAAATAGAATTCAATGTGATTTAGCCAGACTATATCCATTCCCTTATTCCTACTCTCTTCCTCACATTAGTGTTGGGGACACATATGCACAGGCTAAGTGTGATTATCATTTTCATATATTATAACTGTGATAAGTTAGATTTTTTGTGGTAATAAAGACACACCTCAAGACCAAGCAGTAGGAAGACAGTGATGGTAATAAAAATGCATTTCCAGACATATTTCTGCTTGTTATAATTCTGAAATAGTATAATAAAATATAGTCTTCTTTAGCAACTGTACTTGTGTCACCATGCAATGCTACTCTCCAGTTGCATGATCATGCAGTTGCTAAAGGAAGCTAAAAAATACCAAATCTAAAACTAAGAATAATCAATTCAACATTTTTTAAACATTTCTATAATTATTCCAACTGTCTCCAATATTAAAAATCACTACTAGAAGTATACACCTAATTGAAAAAACGTAGTCGTGTTCGAAAAGGTCACATCATTGAAGCTAAGACCAAAAGGGATTTTGAGTACCACTAAATTGGGATTACATTTGTATATACGGAGTACCGTAAAGCAGGTAAAGCTAGTAAGATTAACAGCATGCTAGTCTTTTATGCTGTAGAGCTGTTTGTATGAAATYAGCCAAAATGTTTGTGTTCCCAAGTACCCTTTCGGYCCTAGCTTCTATGATTTGACCTTTTTGGGCCCGACAAAGTTTCTTCAATTAGGTGTACAMAACAATTAAACAATATGCAATAATTAAATAAGAACAAACAATGATAAATTATTAAATTATATAMTTTCCAGGCAAAATCCTTTTTACTATAAAATACTAGATTAAACACTGCTATAAATAAATTTTCGTAATTATACAGTATTGCTATAATATGCAAAAATTACCTTCAAACACCAAGATAACCATCCTACCATGTTAATTATTCCTGAGAAACAATGAAAGAGATTCAATTGTTAGTTAAAATGACATACTTTGGCAAGTTTAAAAATTGTTTACACAACAAATATTACACCTGCCAAAGGCTGTGGCAGGACATAATTATTTCCTATTTCAAGCTCTGTAAAACATCCCCCCCTAGAGTCTCTCTTGTTGTAATGCTCTTGTTGTTAATGGCACAATTAGAGAGACTCTGCCAGCAGAGTCCATGCACTATCAAGACAGAATGGTGTTAAATCATCCTCAAGAAACCAGGTGTAGTCTTCTCTTATTTGTTCCTTAGAAAAACGAAACGCTGATTGGAGCTTGTTCTGGGAATTGAGATGCAAGATAGCACACAGAATGATGTGTAGTATCTATTRATAAAGTAGCAAAGCAAGTAAAATACGATACAAACAAATCAATTAACTCTAACATGCTCTGAGCCAAGCTCTGTAACAAAAAGTTGTAATAGCTTTTTTTGCAGTAGGAAGGAACAAACAACAGAAGATTACCTCTCAACTAACACAGAATTATATAAAAAAATGAGTCAACATGAAATTACCTATAGTAACATTGGCTTTTATGTTGTAACCATAATCAAACTTGATAAAACCAAGATAACCAACATGACAGCAAAACATTATCAGCACAATGACTCCAAATACACTACACTTCCATCGGCTTTCAGGACCAACAGCCCTATAAGAGATTGAGAGTAAGCATAGAAAATAGGATAATTTTGTTAACTAGGATAGATCTGTTCACAAAATTATATCAACAAATGAATGTACTTTTATGGGACCGTTCCTTTGCTTCTAAACTGAGGCTCCTATCTGTGCATTTTTGCAAATCATGAAAATTTAAGAATATTGGAGGTTTTTAAAAGTAAATTTCTTACCTTACAAAGAAACAAAATATTGATGACAGTACTAAAGACGTGGCACAAAAATAGTCCATTTTTTCTGTGAAATTCAAATCTCTTGTATGAAAAATTGTTGACCAAATCCAGGCATTCACATTGACCTCAAAGAAAAGAGAAAAATGAAAACAAATCATTGAATATGTGTACTGTACAATTTGGAGCAGACTGCAAATTGTGTACTGCTCATATTTCCTTTTTGTCTGTTCCCTTCTATGAATTATTACAACAGATAAAACAATATATACAAGAGTCTTTCTTACCAACATGTAGCATTTCCAAACATTGTACATCTTGTAATTCTGAGGTATAACTGATCTATATGCCCGCCAACCAAGAATGTGTCCCAAGCCATTGAGAATGGAGAACAATGTGGAAGCAGGTTCTTGAACACCCAAGAATCTAACAAATGGCCACTGCAATAAGTGAAAAGTCAGAATGAATTTCTGTTTATCTTTAACACTTAKGACAATATTATGTAGYGGTTTGCRCATAAAGAGCATCTAGATTGGCACTGTAATAAAAGATGAGAGGGGGCATTAAAAAAGCCTCTAAAAGTCTCTAAGCTCACTGGCCTTCTAGGATCTGAGCCTAATGTGCTTTTCTCTGGTGCTTAATGATTTCTGCTCCAGTAAAAAAATAAATGAATAAGAAATAAATTGCAAAACAAAACAAAACAAAAACACAAAACAAAACAAAAATAAGCCAGAGGATGAAATCTGAACTGTCATTGAGCTTTTTGAGCCCAAGGAAACTCAAATTCCAAGCTTTGCAAGCCCCAGGAGGAAATGGCTGTTAGATGTATTTAGTCTTAATCATACCTTTCCATAAAACTGCTTTATTGGCCTATCATTTGCGACATCATTAGCTGTAATCTCATGCATGCAAGTATACTTGCACTCATCTAAACAAGTCCAACCAAATATCCTCAAAGATAAAGGAAGCTTGCCAGGGTATATAACATCATCACATTTTCTTCTACAGTCATGAAAACATCTTAAGTACTCATATAAAACATTCCCCCAAGAAGCCAGCACTGATGGAATTGCGTGACAAACAAGAATTATAATAACCAAAGTACTGTGCAATCTCATGGCCCTATCAGGTCACAAAAATAATTATCAATAAAGTGTAATATCATKCAGTTATCAATAGCAGTTCCAGGATTTACCATCAAAATGAATTTAAGAAAAGTTCATATCAATTAAGCTTCATCTTACATTTTTGTCCAACTGTTTAGAGTTGAGTGCCACCATCTGAGACGATGACGATCTGTATCATGTCGTCCAAAAAGGGCACTTCACTTGTGAAATATATAGGTATGCAAACACTTTCACTTACCTATTCAAGCGTGAGAAAACATGTAAAAAACGCCATGAAATGTTCTATTTGGACTTCTGCAAGCTTTGTGCACCAAAAGGACAGTAGCCTCGAGCTAATGCTCTCCCCAGGCTCTCTGTGATTGACGAGGAATGCCTAGTTGAAATGGTTTTCTGGTCTTTATCAATCGTTGACTTTTGAAGGCTATTTTAAAGTATAATTCTGAAAATAATGCTTTTAAGATGTCATAGAATCAACACAATAAGATTTTCAAGGCTTTGTGGACTAAGGTAATAATATGTTAGTTATGAATGACATAGATAAATCTACATCCTTGACAGAATCTACAAACGCGCGCTTTCAAGCAGCAATGCCTTTAGTGACAAGCGTGGATATTTTTATTTGCGCTTACTTTGATACTGTACTTTAGATCCTTTTTGAATATATGTAAAGTTTCTATGTCTTCCCACATCGAAAGAACTGAATCATCCTTCAGAAATGAGGTAATTACGGATGTTTTTCTTTAAGAAAAGATATTTAATATTTACTATGATTGCATAATCAAATCAAAAGATTCACGTGACATAAGTTAATTCTTTCTTGATTTTTTTCTCTAACTACCACAGGGCATATATTTAGCTAAAGTAATAAAATTAAATAACTTGTCAAGCACAGTGAAGAGTTTGGACCTTCAAGTGGCTGATGGCTCCTTTGGCTTTAAACCAGGACAATGGTACTAATTTTTTGACCATTATTTATCACAATTTTCCAGAGTCAACCATACTGACACAAAAAAAAGGGTCAGAATGGATGTGTTAAATGACCATATGACTTTCAGAAACACTGACTGCTTTTAAATTAGACATCAAGGTCTAAAGCATGACAAAACTGTGTGATTAGTTGAAGTTGCAGTTTATTTGAACCCCTTACCAAATTCAATAAACCCAGTTAGTTTTAGTAATAATGTTGCTTTACATGACTGAATTATGACTCAGATGAAAACCACTCAGTCTATGAATTATTGAGCACAATCATTCATATAAACATGATAAAATATTACTATAATTCTCCTTTCCTGTTGCTTGCAGGGTGGATTTTATTATTCCTGGTTTATCTGTTGTTGGAGGTTTTTCTATTTGCTCAAGCCCAGAGGAACTTTTAAAAACTAGCAATATTCAACTTGCAGTGAAGTATAGTGACCATCCTCCTGCAAAGTGGGTGCATACAAAGGTGTGTGTCTTAACTTTAAAAGAAGCTGTTGATTGGTTGTTGTTGTATTACTGCATAATACATTCAGCTGAATTTAGTTGTGACTATTATTTTGTTTTGATTTTATTTTATGGTTCAAGTGTGTTTGTTGTTGTGTTTGTTGCTGTGTAATGCAGTGTACTATGTATACATGTTCTGCAGTAAAGGAACTCAATATTATGTGAGATTAGTCTTTTTCTCATAMATTTGATCTTTTTAGTGTAAAGTTGGTGATAAAGTTCAACTGAGAGTTGGTGGGGATTTCCATCTTACCCTTCCACAAAGTAGTGTTGTCAAACCAAGTTTACTGTTCATTGCTGGGGGTGTTGGGATAAACCCTTTATTGTCCATGTTGAAGTTTTCTGCTGAACATTCATCATTCTATGGCAATACAGCCCTTCTGTTTAGTGCAGGATTGGAGGATGAACTTCTTTTTAAGGCAAGCAAATAAACAAAATATACTATACATAATAAAAAAAACATTGAATTTCATTTGTGCTAGTCTCTCAACTATTAATTACATTGTACGTAACACTGTGCTATTTTGTTAAAAATATAATTGTCTTTCAATTCAAACAGAGTGAAATTATTAGTATTTGCAAAGAACACCGTCATTTCAAGTGCAGTTTCTTTGTCAGTAAAGAGCGCAAAGATGTGTTTGACCAGTGGACTAAAGGTACCTACAGTCTGTATAAACTTTTAGTTACAAGTCAGAATATTTTTAAGTTTTTGAATTGCAATGAAATAAACATTTAATGTAGTCCGAAAACCAAATAAAAAATTCTAAAAACAACAAAAGCCCATTTTTGATGTGCATATATATTGCTATTAATAAAACTGTCCTTGTCCTTAAACAATAAATTTCTTTTTAGGTGGACGAATAACCAAAGAAACAATTAAAACTACTATTGCAAGTTTGGATGTCAACAATCTTCAGGTGTACATTTGTGGACCACAGTCAATGATTTCTTTTGTTTCTGACAGCATTCTTGCTCTTGGAATTAGCAATAACAGAATTCACTTTGAGAAATGGTGGTAATCCAAGTTGACTGCAATGTACTTTTAGTTATGAAAAAAAAACATTCTCAGCAAAATGACATTTAACAAAATTCACTGAGTGTGTATTTGATATAATTAATATTGAACTTCAACATGGCTATTATTAGCAGGAAAACATGATTGACCTGGTATATTAAGACAACAACAATATTGGATTGGGGTTGTAAGAGACATTTTTTGTTTTAATATTGAAATTATTTATTGACAATTGTTGATCTGCAATTAACCAATTGCACAAACTTCTTTACTGGTGAGTAGCAGTGGTAATACATTTTATTTATAATTTTGTCAATTTTTTTATAATTATCAATTTTTTTCTGAAAATCATGAATACAAATATATTTAAAGTAATTGTTTTATAATATATATATATTTCTACAAAAGTTTGAATTCAATGATATACATGTGCTTAATGTATTTTTTATTATTGATGGTGATTGAACATTAGCATTGATAGCTCTGAGCATATTTCTTTTTCTTTTATAAAAGACAGCACAATAACATTTAATATTAACTTTTTATTATTTCCCTTAAAGAGCCATCTTGAATAGTAGCTCCCAGCCTTGCTGTGATAGACACTTTTTTCTCATCTAGGACTATTCACTAGTACCTATCATAGTTCAGCGACTGTCAATCAAAMTTCCTTTCAAGATGGCATTGGGAATAGTAAAATTGAGTATAAAATGCTAGAAACATGCTTACAATAATTATGAATTATCCAATATAAACTATGTCYATCAGTCARGACAACATCACTGGGTTTTACTTGATCGACGRAGCAGGAGCAGGAAAGCTATGATGCGAAAGCCAACAAATAGAGCAAGAAGGGCATAAATATCAATCATGAAGTTGTCCTATAAATAGAAACATTGGAAAATAAGTTTAAAACGTATCAAAATTACAGAAGGTTTTCCATTAACAAAATAATGTTCTACATGACCAATTACTACTGAGGACATTATTTTCAATATTTGACACTAGATTTATTTTTATACAAGAGATCAGAACTACATGTAATGCTTACCTTATCCAGACCAAGAAATTCAATGGCAGCTTGACCATCAGGTATGCATAATGCCTCTGCACCTGCTGTACAGTTACCTTAAWATAACATAAAAAATTGAAAATACTTAATTAAGACGGTCAAAACCAAACACACATATTAGTCATTTATTAGGAGACTATTCATGAATTTGACTATATACTCACTGATAGTTCCATAGCCATCCCACTGGTTGACTATCATCAGTTCGAAACCATATCTAAACCACGAGATGTACTTAATCCACAGAAAGTAATCAGGAACAGTACTGTTAACATTAGAGAAAACAAGCGTTAAAAATTAAATGGTTATGTTTTGGGTTGCTGACACAACTTAATGATAATAATTATAAATAATTATAACTAAATTATTAATAAATCTTATTGTTATTACAACTATACTTTACAATCAATTTATATTATAATTAATTGTTATAATTATTAAGAGAACAATGAACTTACGAATCTTTTAAGAAAAATCCCCCAAAAAGCATCAATGGTAWCAWTAATGGGGGCCCAATTGATGCTGCACCTTCAACAGTTGGTACCAAAGCAGAGATAATATAACCTAACAATGTATTAAAATAGTTATATAATATATTAAGTAGACTATATCATTATTGTCGAAAACGTTGYCATCATCATTGTGATTATTAATACATAAATGTTACTTACCAAATGATAGCGSAACATTGGTTATCAGTGTCAAAATGCAAAATGCATAAACAAATGGAAGAAATTCTGGACGGAGGCCTATTGAAAGAGTATCATCATTAGATATCACATAAAAACAAAGCAAATGATTATGGATCACGGAAATTGAGCAGCGGAAAAGCACTTTAAAATCAAAGAAAGCTGTGTTCGCAAGTGGCGATCAAAAAGAGAAAAGTTTATTTTCCGTCTTTTTTTTTCCTCTAAAACATTCCTAAAACTCRGGGTGCGGCTTATCTATGAGAGCGGCTTATACATGGGTAAATACGGTAGATATGTGGTATACCTATCATCCAGTAAGCAATAGAAATCAAAATCAATGGAAACAGGATAAATATAGGGAACTGTAAAAAAAGAGAAATTTATTAATTTCAACTGAATTTTCTTGTTTGAATTCAGAGAATAGACGATGTTCTTAATACTTAATCCATGAA